ATTCTTTCCTTCATTGGTACAGTGTTGTAGTGGTTATATTATTGGACAAATAATTGAGAAGCCAAAGTTTGAATCCCATAAAGTAAAACTAACAATAATTGTGATGGATAAGAACACAAAAGCTAGAGGAGTAGACCATTCAACCACTAATGTATGCTTCTTTATTCAATGATTATGGATTGTCTTGGGTTTCCTGCCTTTTCCCCATATAGCTTGATTCCTCCAGAGACCAACGATCTATCTTTCCCAGCCTTAAACATATTCAGAAATGGTGTATTCACAGCCCTCTGTGGCATTCCAAAGATTCCTAATTCTGCAGCTGAATCAATGGTCTCATCTCATTTCTAAACGATTGGCCCCTTATCCTAAAATTACATCCCCTTGTTCTAGGTATCCCAACCGGCAAAAATAACCTCTCAGCCTTTTTCATATTAAGTCTCTTCAGAACATTCTATGTCTCAATTAAAACACTTCTCACTTTTTAAAAACACCAGAAAACATGGGACCTGTTTACTCATCCTCCCATTATCTGACAACCCTCTTGCCTCAGGAAACAATGTAGTCTGGCTTTGCTATACCTCCAATAAACATCACACAGTACTCCATTTTAATCTCATTGAAACTTTACACAAATGTAGAAAGACATTTTTATTCCTGTATTCCCCATTTGATAAAGGCCAATATGCCCTTTGCCTTCCTAATCGCTTGCTGTACCTGCAAGTTAACTTCCTACATTTCTTGCATGAAAATCCCATTCTCTGAACATCAATGATTTTAAAAATCTTAACTTTGAAAATTTCAACTTTTAAAAATATTCTGGTTTTCTGTTCTTATGAAAAAAGTGAATAACATCACATTTCCCTGTATTATACACCAAATGTCCATCCAGTCATAGATGATAGAATCCCTACAATGTGGGAACAGGACCTTTGGCCCAACAAGAGCACGCTGGCCCTCAGAGAATCCCACCCAGACCTATCCCCCTTTAACCCCACTAATTGAGGCATATCTGAACACTATGGGCAATTTAGCTTGGCCAATCCACCTAGCCTGCATATCTTTGGACTGTGGGACAAAACCCACACAGACACAGGCCCACAGACAGTCACCTGATGGTGGAATTGAACTCAGGTCCCTAGTGCTGTGAGACAGCAGGGCTAACCACTGAGCCACTGTACTACACTATAAACATAGGCAGTGTCAGGAGTGGGATCTTTGCTGTAATTAGGTAATGATCAGTTTGAGGAATCTGGGCTTTCCCTGTGGTGTTCTGATCGACTCTGGCATGCTTGTGTAACATGAGATTTGAAAACAGGGAAGACTTAAAGGTCATGAAGCAAGGAATTTTTTCCACTTGAATCAGGATATTACAAACATGAAGGGAAATTAAAGCTAAACAAGGAAGTATTTATATGAATGAAACCTAGGGTCAATATTATATCAAGGAGCCCCTTGTCGATCTGCTTCTTCCTCCTATGAGGCGTCCTTCTACCAAAGACACCCTTTTCTTCCAGAGAGGATCCATTCAACTGTCCCCATGGCTCTCCCTCACCATCCCTACCAGATGCTGGAGATTCCATTACATTTTCCTAATGTGTAATGCAGTTTGTGACTCTGTCTACGACAAATAGCACACAGTGACCACTTGCTAAGCCATTGTGTGATTAATAGGTTCAATTGTATGGCTTGTATGTTCACTAGCAGCTGCATTCTTTTCTTGTATCACCAGTCTGGGCAAATGGTATGGATTGGGGCGATATCTAGCATCTGCTTGAGAAAACCTTCTCAGCCTCTTACCTGTATTGTTGACTTCCAATAGATCCAAGCATGTGGTGTGTCACCCACGTTGGGGTCTAAGTTGGTCAGGTTTCCAGGAGTCATTATCGATGGCACATGTTGCTTCAGTTGCTACCTCCCAGCAGGTCCCCCTAGCACTGTTTTCCAGTGGCTCACACTTGACACACATCCTAGATTCACAATAGACAGGTCACCCCCAGATTTCACATCACTACCTGACTCATTTTCCATCAAGCTATCGCACACTGATACTTCAGGTTATGCAACGCCACTGCGTGAGCTGCTTACCTCCACATCATCCACCCGACTCTGGCCTCAAGTAACTCCCCTTCTTCTGTGTACCACTGTCTGAGACCGACCCCCACATAGATGCAGCTACATATCACATAGGTCTAGCTACTTGAATCCAGCCAATGATGAGACTGTGGGGTTCAGGGTCCCACACATCCTGTCTCTTATTCTAATTTCAGAGGAATACATGGCACTGATTGGAGGGTCAGTCCTGTTAGCCCTTGAAATCATTCAATGTTTTTCTTCCCAATGCTTCTTCTTTCTCAGTGGCGTTCTAGACTTTATTTCTCATATTGTACAAGGCACACTGGGCTTTCTGAGATGTATTTGAAAACTTCTCCTTACATTTTGAAAATGGTGAAAGAGAGTATAATTAATAGGCCATATCAACGAGTGAAATAATCAATATTATCTTTCCTCTCCAAAGGTTTAGCAGGCAGTGTGTGGTTGACAAGGACAAGAGAAACCAGTGCAGATACTGCAGGCTCAAGAAGTGCTTCAGAGCTGGGATGAGAAAGGAAGGTAATGGCATTTGACTGTTCAGTTGCATTCTCCAGTCAGATCTATGTAAATTTCATACTCCAGTAAATAGGGCCAGGTACCATACAGGTAGATTATTTTCCTGACTGCTGTCCAAAAATCATTAAAAGCATGATAATTTCTTATTTTCTAAGATTGTTTTGTTTTAAAAATAAGATTTCAATAATCCTATAAACTACTATTTAAATCTCACACCTGCTTAATTTGTATATTACAAATGCTACCTTTAATCTTCCTTACATATCCATCCTGCACCCAAAAGTGCCCACAGTGATTAGTAAATGTTTCACTTGTGAAGTGGTTACATTGCAGTGCTTTGAAGAAAAGCAAAGGTGTGGCTCTAAATTTGACAGATCTATTAAAAGACTGGTATTGGCACAATGGGCCTGAATAGCCGACTACGGTTCCCAAAAATTCTGTGTTTCTGCAATCTTTTGTCAGCTAACCTTATCATGACTGGGCACTATGCAAACAAGACAAGGTGACAACCTAATGGCACTATTGCTGGATTGTTAATCTAGAGATTCAGGTAATGTTGTGGGCACCCAGGTTCAAATCCCACCATGGCAGATGGTGAAATTTGAATTTACAGTTCAATGATGACTATTGTTGATTGTCAGGAAAAGCCCATCAGGTTCACTAATGTCCTTTAGGGAGGGAAACTGTCATCCTTACCTGTGACTCCAGACCCACAGCAAAGTGGTTGACTCTTTGTGGGCAATTAGGGATGGATAATAAATGCTGGACTGGCCAGTGACACTCACATCCCATGAATGAGTAAAAGAAAACACCTGAGTGTCATAGACTTTATACAATTATATTGTCTACCTAATGAAGGTTCCACAATTAATCATTTAGTTAGCTCTCTTGTTTGAATTAAGAGTATTGTAATCGCACTGATACCATTTAGCTCTCACTTAGAACATATGAACGAGATAATGTCAAATAGCAATTTATGGGTCTTTGGACAGAGGTGTGACAGTGATGGCAAAATGAGAAAATCTTATTTTACACAGCTAGTGGTTAGGAACTGAAATGTACTGAAAAAGTGGTGGAGGCACATTCAATCGTGGCTTTCAAAAGAGAGTTGAATAATTATCTAAGGAGAAAACATAAAGTGCAGGACCATGGGGAGAAAGGAGAAGAATGGGATTAGTTGAGCTGTTCTTGCAGAAAGTTTCATTTGGACATAGTAGGCTGAACAACCTCCTTTTGTCTTGTATACGTTCTTTAATTCTATGATTCCATGAATTGGAACAAGAAAACTGAACGAAGGAAAAGCAGTTACAGAAATGAACAAAAATATATCTGTCAAAGGCAGTTGTGTCAATAAACTCAGCAAAATCTATTTAATATTTGTCATTACCTCTTTGTATTGTTAGATTGTTTATTGTGGCATTGAATCACAGTTGCACAATTTGATATATTGCAGTTACCATACTGTTCATATATTGGCGTAAACTTTACATAGATGGCATGTTGGAAATCATGGGGAAATCTCAGCACTCCAGAAATTGTGCTTTGTGCATTGAAGATTGTGAGGAATGCATCTTCAAATTCCTGGTATGAACTTTCAGCAAGTTGAAAATTCAGTGCCTCTCGTTATCCGAGAAAATATGATCCCTCTTGCTTCCTTACTGCAACAACCTCAGAATTTCAGATGAGGTAAACTGTGCACTATGGTGAAACCCCTTGCAGTTAGACATCAAGAACAAAGAAAAATAAATGTAATGAAAATACAGAAGTTAAGCTTGTCAGTATCTAATGTAATAGTTTTGGAATCTCTTGCAGCTCTTTTCCTGTCATGTGCTTGAGGACTGGGATAGCTTTTCAGTGGCATGGTGGATCTCTGCCTTGTTACCCAAGTCTTCATGCAGGCTTGGACAAGAGGTATGGGCAGGGTATACAAAGGGAGCATTTGACCAACCAAATAAACCTTTCTTCCTACTTAATATCCATGCTTGATGTGGTGCCTGGCACAAATCATTGGATAGCAATCAAGAGCAGGGAACCTGTTTCGTTGTGTGGTTTTATGGCCACATCTATGAACTTGTGTTCATGATTGGTAAAGGAGAAGGCAAGGTCAGGAACTGTCTTAAGGTTTGGACTTCTTTATTGCACTGTTTATTACTTATAAAAACTGAATGCTGCAATACATGACATTCAAAGATATACCAGGGTCTAATCTCACGTTATTCAAATTCTATTCCATAAACTGTACCACCAAATGCTAGTTAGTCTACTCCATGTGCTTCTCTGCACATGTTTCTAATATGCACGTGGCTGGTGTGTAAACTTATGCTTAGCTCTCTGTGTGGTTCTCCTGTCTGCCCACACTGTGCTATTTAGGCCCAGTGAGGAGTAGGTCTGTGGCATCATTGATCCAGGATCCTGAAGCCCTTGCGTAACAGAACTCAGGTCTATTTTCTCTTCCCAGCTCCAAATGTTGAGGTCAGTTCTGCTTGAAGAGCTGGGATAAAATCAGCACAAACTGAGGATCAAAGCCAACCATCTCAGCTGTCTACAAATCAAAGATCTGCAGATACTGAAGATCTGAAACATAAACAGAAATTGCTGAAGAAACTCAGCATCTGAGGAGAGAAAGCAGATTTAGTGTTTTGGTAACAGTGACACTTCTTCAGAATTCTGCTTTCTCTCCAAGACACTGCCAGACCTGCTGAGTTTCTCCAGCAATTTCTGTTTTTTTTCTTTCCGATCTGTGTAGCTTGGTGCTTGCTACATAGAGATATACATTTAGTCACAAAGCCATCAGCAGGTTTGCATTTCTTCATGACCTTGCTCACCATTTGGGTAGATCTTGATTTTGTATGATTATGTCAAATGAGTGACAATAAATTAACAGGCTGCTTTACATTCCTCCCAATTTTTATTTCGACAGAAGTTACCCTCTTTCTGCTTCAAAACAATTCAAAATGTTAAGGTCCTTTCCGTAGATATATATAAATATGAAGATTTGATTTTAAAACTATCAACATTAAATATTTGCCAAATATCTTTCTTGCACTTCATAAGCTCTTGTCAAGAAGAGTGAAGGATTCAATACCCTTTTACTGCTGCTCTCAATAAACCTGACTATCTTGAGATTGAGATACAGTGGTATCTACAAAACTTGCTTCTTCAGAGATTGCATATGTACTAATTTCTCTATCCATTGGCTCAGGGCAGCCACCCTTGCCAATGACACATTTTTTAAAAAAATCAGCAGCCAGGGATAAAAGATGGAAATACAGCTTTCAAAATAGTTTTGATTCAGCCTTTGTTGTAGAATGTACCTCACAGTAAATGGGTGCTTTTCATAGGACCAGCTCCGACAGCCATTATTCTGTACTTATTGCATGCAAAAGAGTTTTTGCATACAATCTCCAAAGGAGAGTCATATCATACTCAAAAAGCTAACTCTGAATTCTCTCCACAGACGCTGCCAAACCTACTGAGTTTACATTTTTACTACCACTAGCTTTTTAGCTTTTTGTCACTTGATATCTTCTGATGTTTGTCTTCTATCTTTGAGCACTCAGCATTACCTTCATTTAGCCCCTGCACGTGGCCTTACATCTGTCATAGGCAACTGTTCCAGGTGCCTGAAAAATGATGCACCAAGTTTCAGTTTGCAAATATTCTCAAAGGGAGAGGTCATGATGTTTTTCCAGAGGTTGGGCTTCATTGCATCTATTTTGCAGGTAAAATCTTGGCACAACAAAACCTAATGTCCATCCTGAGATAGTAGGAACTGCTGATGCTGGAGAATCTGAGATAACAAGGTGTGGAGCTGGATGAACACAGCAGGCCAAGCAGCATCAGAGGAGCTGGAAAGCTGACATTTCAGGTCTGGACCCTTCTTCGGAAGAATCTGAAATCAGAAGAGTCAGAAGAAAGGCCTGCTGCGTTCATTCAACTCGACACCTTGTTATCTCAGATTCTCCAGCATCGGCAGTTCCTACTATCACCGCTTTTTGCAATTGTTTTTTTCCCTCTGATTGGGATCTTGGTGGAGGTGAGGCGGGAGTAGATGTGAGGGTGACTATGACGGTGAGCATAAAAACATGGGGTAGGGAAGGAATGACCATACAAGTGTGGCAGTGCAATCACTGTCAGATGTCAGGAGTTTTCTGGTGACCATTACTCCCCCTGGGGGCCAATGTCCAATGCACAAATATACGCACATAGAACGAAGCAAAGAAGGCAAGAAGAGACTCCCAGGCTCAGAGCGCCACAGGCTGCCTTAGAAATGAAGGGACGTATGGCATCTGCAAATGGCACACAGGACAAACACTCAAAATAAGGCAGAATCCCTTAAAATACGGAAAAGTTTGGCCACCCTGAAAAATATTGGGTACAGATTCTGCAAACCTGCAGTTTTGAGATTTACCGATTCATTAGTAATTTGAAAACCATTTGGTATATGCCTCCATCAAGATATGCCAAAAAGGGAGGAAGCTTTCTTTGTCTGTTAGATGCTTTTAAAGTACGAGTTTGATATTATGAGAGCAAGTACATTTCCCCATTGTAAGGTACACTACTGCTATTGCTTTGTACATGAAGCTTGTGCATTAACATTGAAATTAATTTCACTTAAACCATAAAAAATGCAATGAATAAATCAAGTACACAAAATGTTTAATGTGACTCATCTTTATTTGACAGATAAATTCAGTTCTTTCCACAGCAACTGGAGTTGTTAAGAAGTATAATTAGCAATATGTTTCAGAAGGTTGCCATCTGCTGGTAAATGCATGTAATGCAGAACTACCCAACAAACAAAAGGGCCAAAATTGGAAATTGCATGCTTTTAGAAATTTAACCTCCCAAGGGTGCTGTGTGAAAGCATGTTGCCCATGATTTTTGATTCATTATCTTAACAAAAATAGTGTTGGTATATGGGTTACTAGAAGCAGGGTTTGATGTTGGTGATGTAGGTCTTGTCAGCTTATGGAGAACCAACTGGAACCCCAGTCATCTCCTTTGGAGAAGGCCCACTAGAATGAAGAGCCTATCAAACTTTTAACTCCCAATTTGACCGGATTTAGTAACCTGAGTTTAAAATCCTTCTTCCAAAAGCTGTTAACCAATGAGAAGCAAGCATCACTCCATTGCTGTTGGCACCACCAGAAATGGTGGCTAACGCTGGTAATGGTCCAACAGGGAAAGGGGTCCAATGATGGAATCAGGTCATAGGTGAGTAAGGGTAGGACAGGGTTTTTAGGAAGTGGGTCCCATGTCCCGCTATTGGGCTCTGAGTGCCTTTGAATGAAAGACCACCCCAGCCACACACATGCATCCCCTCCTCAACTCCCAGCCTAAGCTGAATACCAGCAGTTTGAGGCCCTGGAGTAGGTATTAACTACTGCCCACTTCTGCGCTTCAATGAGCATCAGTCTTGGTTGGACGGACGTGGGAGGATTTAGGGTCAAACACCAGCCTCCTGCCCTGTTAAATACCCAGTGCCTCCAAACCATGGCTGTAAGGGCATTAAATTCAATGCTCGGTGGAGTCTTGATTCAGTGAAAAGTGCTAATTAAATGTTTGTGTTTCCATCTTGTTTCTTTCTAACTCAGAGGCAGGTCTATGTGTAATTATAAAGCATCCTATATTGTCCAAGAACATCTCAAAGAGCTTTACAACAAAGAAGACACTTTTGAAGTGTACTTAATGTCCTAATGGAGGAGATGCAGCAACAAAACAAGATCTCACAAACGGGAATGTAATAATGATTGGATAACTTATTCTTATGATATTGATTGAGTGATATATATTGGTTGGAACACCATGGAAAACTCCCCTGTTCTTCTTCAAAGCAATGCTGTGGAATCTCTGCATCTAATTATGAGGGCAGATGGGGCATTGTTTTAAGGCTTTATATAAAAATGAGCCCCTTCAACAGTGCTGCACTCCTTCGGTACAGCCATGGGAGTGTTGGCCTGGTTTACGTGTTTAATGTTTTTGAGTGAGATTGAACCCATAAATTTATGACTCAGAAAACAGGATGCTACCCAGGGAAGCACTGATGACATTCTTAAAATTTATGACTTCAAGGTACATCACAGATATTTGAGAGCCCTAAGGGTAGCACAGTGGTTAGTACTGCTGCCTCATTTTGCCAGGGACCTGGGTTTGGTTCCACTCTATCTGTGTGGAATTTACACATTCTCCCCGTGTCTATGGGTTTCCTCTGGGTGCTGCGGTTTCCTCCCACAATCCAAAGATGTGCAGGCTAGGTGGATTAGCCATGGGAAATGCAGGGTCACAGGGTGTGAGTCTGGGTACGATGCTCTTCGGAGGGTCGATGTAGACTTGATGGGCCAAATGGCCTGTTTCCACACTGTAGGGAATCTATGATTCTACCCAGGCTGACATTTCAGTACGGTTCGGGGAAATGGTTGCTTTGTGGCAATGTCACCAGACTAATAATCTAGAACCCAGGCTAATGTTCCACAAATATGATTTTAAATCCCACTGTGCGGTTGGTGGAAATTAATTTATAAATTTGAAATAAAATGCCAGTCTAATGGTGAGCATGAAACCACTATCTAAAAGCCCATCTGTTTTACGAATGTCTTTTAGGGGAGAAAATCTGCCATCCTTGTTTGGCACATATCTGGCTCCAAACGCACAGCAGTGTGGTTGATTCTGAAATGGTCGAGTAAGCCACTCCAGTTGTATCAAGCTGCTGCAAACTGTCTCCCAAGAACAGCAGTGATTCAGGAAGGCTGGCCACCATTTTCTCAAGAGCAATTAAGGATAGAGCCAAAGAGCTGTACAGCACAGAAACAGACCACTCAGTCCAACTAATCCATGCCGACTAGATATCCTAAATTAATCTAACCCCATTTGCCAACATTTGGCCCCTATCCCTCTAAACCCTTCCTATTCATATACCCATCCAGATGCCTTTTAAATGTTGTAATTGTACCAGCCTCCACCACTACCTCTGGCAGCTCATTTCAAACATGCACCACCCTCTGCCTGAAAAAGTTACCACTTGGGTCCTTTATAAATCTTTCCCCTCTCACCTTAAACCTATGCCCTCTAGCTTTGGACTCCCCTGGGTAAATGACCTCGGCTATTCACCCTATCCATGCCCATCCCTCCCCCATGATTTTCTCAATCTCTATAAGGTCATCCCTCAGCCTCCAACAGATGGGCAATACATTTTTGCCCAGCCAATGATGCCCTCATCCTCACCTTTAAAAAAATGTATGGCTGCAATCATTCAGCAAAAGCTTTGGATAAGATATTGAACTGAAGTGCTGGCTCTATTTGAAGAACAGCAAGAGAACTCTCCTACTGCGATCTAATACTACTGAAAATATATCAACTAGTCTCCTATTCCAATAGGATTGGTGGGGAGTTTATGTGAAAACCGATCGTTATGTTTTATACAACAGTGACTCCACTTCAAAACTTCCACGGATGTAAAATAATTTGGGATTTCTTGAGATCATAAAAGGTGCTATGCAAATGAAAGTTAATTCTTGTTACTAAATCACTGGAAACAAAAGGTTTCAGGGATAAATGTATAAGTTAAATTTACAGCATTGGATACAGGTGATTTAACGTTTAATTTTATATTTTGCGAAGCTGTACAGAATGAAAGGGACAGAATCAGCATTCGCAGGACCAGCTATGAAGATATTGGCTCTCTGTCCATTGCTACACTGATCCAAGCAGAAACAATGGCTAGGCAGGTAACTTCACCAAAATAAGTTAAAAGTATTGGTAGTCAAAACTGTTTAATGATATCTTGCAAATTTTTAATCGACTAAAAAAAGTAAGTGAACAATTATTTTCAATACTGTAATGCCCTGAAAAATAGTTGGCTTAGTGCGTTTGACAAAATTAATTAGGTCATGTGTTTTCATCAGGTATGTCAATTTGTAATCTTACCTCAGAGCCAGAAGGATTTGGGTTCAAATCCATTCCAGGGATTTGAGAACAAATATCAAAGATGATAATCCTTCAGTCCTGCATTGGAGTGATGCACTATCAGAGGTGCTGCCTTTCAGATGCAGTGTTAAACAAAGGCCGTTCCCATGAAATTATCTTCCAGATGAGCAGGGGATTTATCCTAGCATCCTGGTTAATTCTTAACCCTCAATCAACATCTCTAAGAAACAACTTATTGAGCTATTATCACATTGCAGCTCTGAGAGTGGGATCAGAAGGAAGGCTTGCTGTGTATAAGTTGAATACTGTGAGTCTGATTTTGGCTACCGCGGTGGCAGCTTGAGTTGGGAAATTTCTTGACTTGCTAGACCCACTCAGTAAAAGGCGGCCGCTGGCATCAGAACTCAATGCCAGGAGGGAATGGGGGTAGGCCAGTGCCAAGGCAGGTTAGGTCACAACTATTCAATGGAACTTTTCTGGCCTTCAAGAGTGTTTCCATCTATTCCATCAGTTTGTCACACCTACATTGCAAGTTAAGGCCCTTGAATAGCCAAAGTGGGGCCTCCATAGCATCCCAACAATGTGGAAACAGGCCATTTGGCCCAACAAATCCACACCAACTCTCCAAAGAGCGTCCCACCCAGACTCACCCCTCCACCCTATCCCTATAACCCTGTATTTCTCCTGGCCAATCCACTGGGCCTCTCTGAACTCAGCACTTAAGTATAAGTGGCCCAGCTGAGTTTGTGCATGCACTCTTGCCTTCCAGACAAAATTAAGCCCAGTCTTTCCTACTTTATAACAGTGACTACAAAAATACTATCATAGAATAGAATCCCCACCATGTGGAACAAGCCATTTGGCCCATCCAGCCCACACCAACCCGCTAAAGAGCATCTCCCCTAGACCCAACCCCATCCCTGTAACCCTGTATTTGCAATGGCTAATCCACCTCGCCTGCACACTATGAGCCATTGATCATCACCAACCCTAACCTGCACATCTTTGGACTGTGGGAGGAAACCCATGCAGAAAAATGTGCAAACTCGACACAGACAGTCTCTTGAGGCTGGAACCAGACCTGGGTCCCTGAAGCTATGAGGCAGCAATGCTAACCATTGAACCACTGTACTTCTTGAATAAGAGAAAGGGAATTCTCCTATTGTCATCCAATGCTACTAAAAATACATCATCTGCAATGCAACTCTGTATTATCTTGTGCGTCCTGTCAAATTACACCTTCCAGCTAATTTCGGGGGCAGTTTCTATTTGCATTTCATCGGCTGCTTTCCTTGCAGCAGGAATTTCAATTACTCCCCTTCCAGTAATTTAAAAAAACTGTGAAACACATCAGGGCACCTAGGTATCATATATTTCCTTTTAGTCAGACACTTAAAATTGTGATATATCTATCTCTTGAGTTGTATTTGTTTTTATAAGCAGTTACAGTGCTCTAAGGATTGTGATAGCCATTGAGTTATTTAATCACCAGTAACCCATCAGAGTGGATTGCTGAAGTGGCAATATTTTTAACAAAGTGAGAGTTTGATAGAAAGTATAATAGTCATAAAGGTGAAAGGCACAGAGTAAATCATGTGATGAGAGAAGAGGTTCGACTGATGCAGAAGTATATGTAACTGTACAATACTGTAAAGTAATGCAATGGTTCTGTATTGTCTTGAGATTATTGTCAAATGAACAACTCCCAGCTAATTTTGGGTAATTTCCTTTTGCACTTTATCATCCATTTCCATTACAGAAGGAATCTGCCGTGGTATTCAATTTCTACCCTTCAGTAATCAGCCCTTGCAGAGATTCATGGCATCTAACAATAACTACTCTTTTACTTTCAGCTATCCTTTCATCCCCATTATGTGTCATCTAATGTCCTTTATACCCTTTACAGTAAAAGTTTAAATATGAACGTATTATGAGAGAGTGATTAGGATATTTATTTAGGATTTAATGGAGATATGAAATGAAAAAGTCATTTGGAAAAATATCAATCATCAAATGCAACAATTAATTGCCAAAATAAGGAAGATATTTCACACAGTCCTGGGGAGGCAAATTCTGTCCAAAGTTGGCACTTTCATCCATTCTATCAATTTGGGATTTAATTATGATGTACATAACACATGTCTTGTGTTCCAGCTCACCAACAATAAGAATGAAATGCTGAACTGAGAAATCTTGTGTCTTTACTTTATTAGTGGTTCAGCACTATCATTCTCAGATATCTCCATCATTTCTTTTGCTGGAAGGAGTGAATAATGGCTGTCATTAGCAGCTCAGATTGCTTTGGGATGCTTGTTGTTAGGTTCATGTGAACATAAATGTTGCTTAATATCTTAAAATAACAACAGTTGCCTCTACAAGACAATAACTGACTTTAATTGCTTCATTGCATTATATTACCTAGCTATCTCCTCAATTTCTTCCTAACAACCTTTCCTTGCAGTTCTGCTGAATCATTTAGTCTTTTTCCAGCTTCTCTCAATCTCTCCATGCACACATTCTCTAACATAGCACAGGACAACAGTAAAGAAATCCTTTAAAAAGTTTTTTTGTTTATTCTTGGGGTGTGCATTGCTGGTTGGGCCAACCTTGATCACCTATCCCTAGTTGCCCTCGAGAAAGTGGTGATAAGCTGCTTTCTCAAACCAAAGATTGTAGCTATTAAAGATTCCTTATCATGCTGCATTTCTGTTCATTACATACCTAATTGACCATTAACCTGGTTACAGATTCTTCCACTTCTTGCCTGATTTAATCATTTAAATATATGTATCTCTAGAAGATTACTGGTTTAACTAGAGTCAAAAAGCCCTTTCGATATAAGAGTGTAATCAACAGTAATAGGACAGCAGTGGGGCTCCTGAACTTGATTCCATGTGGACAATAATATTAAACTGTCGGCATTCTTTGGCTCAAATTCAGTTTTATTTTGATCTGTAAATAAAAATGTTCCCTGCCAATTAGAGCTCACCAGTGACCTGACCTATTTAACTCTTCCTAATATCATAGAAATGCCCTTTTTATTCTTGACACCTCACTTCAGTGGTCTGGCTAAAGTTATGAACTCACTAAGTTTATTGCAGGTATAAAACCGTGGACACCAAATTCATACACGATGAATAAAAATTTATCAGCTACTCATGTGTCTCTTCAAATTCAAGTAATTGAATGATTCTGTTTTTCTGTTGGTAGATATCTGGTTTCAATCCTGTTCATCATGCTGATATTGCAATGAAGAAGATCGCAACGATCAATGATGTTAGTGAATCCATGAAACAGCAACTGCTTGTTTTAGTCGAATGGGCAAAATCTATCCCAGCATTCTGTGAATTGCTACTGGACGACCAGGTCAGTGAAAGGCATGACAACTAGAAAGCAAATTACTCTTGTTAAAAATTCACAGATACACTTTCCTTGTGCTACCCAGCTGGGTAGTGTGTTGAATTCAGAGTAAATGCACTATACCATCCCAGTTCATCTCTCACATTAAATAAGCACAGTCATTAAACTTAGTATTATTCATAAGACAGATAATACAGGATATTTTGTGTAAATTCTTGAGTGGTACCTTGAAAATGTTTTAAGCTATGCATCTAATGATTGTCTACATGCTAAATAATAACTTGATAAAGAGATTGCTGTTAAACATTTTGATAGTAGGATGTGTGATTGGAATAGATCCTCCATCAGCTGACTCGAAGTTAGGAAGTATGGAGTAAGCTGTGAAGATAGGAGTAGGATGGTACAAAGGATACAGAAAACTCAGGCAAGTAAGCAAAACTGACAGCTGGAGTTAATGTGGGATCATCCACTTGGGATCTTGGGAAAATAAATCAAAATCTGTTCTTAATGATGGACAAGGGGCTAAAAATGATATCAGAGTGAGTGGTGTTGCATATCCTAGTGAAGAAATCAATAAAAGTACAAGCACAAAGTATCGTCAAGAAAGCCAATGGACAGCCAGCATTTGCCACAAAGGACTGTAATATAAACTGAAGGAAGTGATGTTTCAGTTGTTTACAGCCTTACTGAGAGACATTTCAGTTTTGAGCAATGGATACAACTGATCGTGGAGGAGATACAATATAGATTCACAAAACTGCTGCTGGAGTTCAAAGGCTTAAATAATGAGACAGTTGCATGACGTTGCCTTGCATTTCTTTGATTATGATAGGATTGACATAATAAAAGGATTCAATAGTGTCAATCCAAGGAAGCAATTTCTTGTATTGGTGAAACAAAGGATGAGGAGCAAACCTTAAAATTGAACTTGACTATTTGAACATGAAATCAGAAAGCACTTATTCATTAAAAAGGAAGTGGAAATCTGGCAACATCTCTCCTAAACGTTTGTGAATATTGTATCCATCGGATGAGTCAAAATTAAGATCAATATATTTTTATTAGTTGGTGTGGGTATTTTGATATAAGGCTTACAATTCATGGATATTTGAATATAATTTGTATATACATTAATATCATTTATTTTAGAGTTTGAGTTTTGAGTTTTGGTTAGTCTATGGTAGGGGGTGTATGTTTAACAATTAACTTGTCAGTATTTCTGGAGCCATGGATTTTCTTTAAACTATTTTGAAAAATGAATCCTTTAAGTATTCATGTAAATTTGTTGGTATTGGGAAAAACAGACAGAGCAAATACTGAAAAGCATTAACTTTCTTTCAATTAGAAGGAGCTGTGTTTGACTTTTTTTGCTTAGGATCAACAACCATAGTTTAAAAAGTTTTTTTTTTGATTTCAGTTCACAGACATACTGGTTGAAATTGGATGTATTTCTCCTAGAGAAAGGAATTCAGAAAATTTAGGAAATAGGTTATGTCATTATAAGAGTTACAGTTTGAAAGTTCCAGACCAGAAGTGTTTGGTTACAATCCTGAAGAGGTTATTTGAAGCTGAGAAAATTGAAGCTCATTTGTGTTAATGCTGAAGAAACAGAATATCAAATTCTCAAGACCAGGAATTGAAAGCAACAGTTACATCAAACCTATAAATTTGATAAATAAAGGGACTTTCTTTGGTAATTGAGTACTGTAAAAGGACGGTATCTGGATGGATGGAATATTAATTTTTACGCTTCAAAATCTGTCAAATGGCGTTTATCTAAATAGCTTGTATTTTTCCATGTTTCATCTTTTCTTTTACATAATAAAATTATGTTCTATTGTTGAAACTAAATCTGCAACATTGTGTGTTTATGTTACAGTGAAAGACCAACTTGATAAATAAAACAAAACAAAATATGGCTATCAAGCCAAATTTCAGTCTGGGATCTGACTTGTCCAGTAATAACATCAGCTAGGAAGACAACAGTATTGAAGGATATGGAATGATGTGGAGTAAATTAAGTTGCAATACAGATTGGATACAACATCAGAATAGACTCAAGGTGCTGAATGGAATACTTGTATTCCTATGATCTTATCACCATTTATTTCTATAGGTTGCATTGCTTAGAGCTCATGCAGGGGAGCACTTGCTGCTGGGTCTGGCTAAACGTTCAATACCTTACAAGGACATCCTCTTGTTAGGTAAGAATTGTCTTATTTAATATCGCAAGAGGCTTAACAATTTTCAAGCTGCTTTGACTTACTGTTTATTAAAATTTAAGAATACCTAAGTGCATTGTCAAGATGTCTTCTTTTCCCTACAACATGAGAACTTAAGAAAACAGCTGAAAGGAACATTTAATGAACTGTAACTTCTAACTGCCTTCACTGATGTACCTCCACTGATTTATCTATACTATGACTAGACCTTATCCTACCACACAAAAAACTGAGGTCTTAACCCTGACAGTGTGTATGCCATTGTGCTTGTAACATTTTGAAAATATCAATCTAACAGAATAGGCGCAATTTTTTTCAGTTCGCCTATGTTGCAACTCAAGGATAAATAATTAGGGTTAACCCTTTAATTGGAAACCTCACATCACTATCCCAAATATGGCAGCTTCTCTGTGTTTTTTAGTCCATTATTTCATTTTGCCAGTAATCACAGTGATGTTTTAAGGCATTGTAAAGAGGTGCTTAATTAGCTGTCAACTATTCATGAATGAGTTAAAAAAACAATTATGCAGTTTAACCATTTGCAAAATATCAATGTTGTTTACAGAATAGTGTATTAAGTATTTTTAAGTGAGAATCTAACTCGAGGGGTCATCTAATTAGCTGTAAATTAATTTAATAGAAATTTATTTTTAATTAAATAGTTGCTAGAATGTAAAAATGCCAGTCAGCGAGGTAGTCTGCTTCTCCTGAGGACTGAGGGAAATCAGAGACAGCTTGAATGTGCCTGACAACTACATCTGCAGGAAGTGTGTCCAATTGCAGCACCTGTCAGATCGCATGGATCTATTGGAGCAGTTGGACATACTTAAGAGCATGCAGGAGGCAAAAAGAGTCATAGACAGGAGTTTTAGAGATGTGGTCACATCCAAGATTCAGGCAAAAAGATGGGTAACCACTAGGAGGGGCAGGCAGTCAATGCAGGAGACCCTGTTGCTATCCCCCTCCTTAACAAATATACTGTTTTGGATACTGCTGGGGGGGCATTGCCTATCAGGGGATCGCATGTTTCTGTGAAAATGAATGATAATAATGGTGAGATTCAGTAACATTGAATAACAAGAGAAATTGCGAGCTTGCTCAAAAAGAAAAAGAAGGCGTACATAAGGTTTAGGGAACGGAAGACAGACAGAGCACTTGAAGAACAGAAAGAAAACAGAAAAGAACTTAAACAAGGGATTAGGAGGGGTAAAATGGGCCATGAAATATCCTTAGCAAACAGGATTATGCAAAATCCCAATACGTTTATGCATACATAAGTAGCAGGAAGGTAGCTGGGGAAGGGGAAGGTTCATTCAAGGACAAAGGAAGGAATTTATGCATGGAACCAGAGGAAGTGGGTGAGGTACTTAATGAACACCTTGCATTGGTATTCACAAAGGAGAAGGACATGGTAGATGTTGAGTCTAGAGAGGGATATTTTGATATTCTAGTGCTTACTGATATAAAAAAGGAGTACTTGTTGAGTGTTTTGAAAAGTATAAAGGTAGACAAGTCCCCAGGATCTGATGAAATCCATCCCAGAATACTAAGGGAGGTAAAGGACAAAATCTTTTTATCCTCTTTAGTCATAGGAGAGGTCCCGGAAGACAAGAGAATAGCCAACATTGTTCCTTTGTTTAAGAAGGACAATAGGGATAATCCAAGAATTTACAGACCGGTGGGTCTTACATCAGTGGCAGGGAAACTATTGGAGAGGATTCTTAGAGACATGATTTACTCACATTTGGAAAAATACGGACGTATTAGTGATAGGCAGTATGGCTTTGTGTGGGTGAGGTCGTGTCTCAGAAACTTGACTGCAGGGCAGTGGATGTTGTCTTTGTGAACTTTAGCAAGACCTCTGACAAAGTCCCTCATGGTAGACTGGTACAGAAGGTGAAGTCATATAGAATCTGTGGTGAGCTGGTAAGATGGTTATAGAACTGGCTTAGTCATAGAAATCAGAGAATAATGGTGGAAGGGTGTTTTTCTGACTGGAAATCTATGATTAGTGGTATTTCATGAGGAATAGTGCTGGGGCCCCTGTTGTTTGCAATATATAAATGATTTGGAGGAGAATGTAGGTGGCCTGATTAGTAAGTTTGCAGAGAACACAAAGATTGGGAGAGCTGCAGATAGTCAGGAGGATTGCCAGAGGATATGGCAGAATGTGGATAGGATAGAGACTTGGGCGGAGAAATGGCAGATGGAATTTAATCTGGACAAACTGCAAGGTGATGCATTACGGAAGATCTAATGCAAGAGAGAAATATACAGTAAATAGCAGCATCAACATACAGAGGGATCTAGGCTTACAGATTCACAATTGCCTGAAAATGGCAACAGAAGTGGATAAGATGATTTTGAATTCATATGGCATGCTTGCCTTCATTGGTCGAGGCATAGAGTATAAAAATCGATCAGTTGTGTTGCAGTTTATAGAACTTTAGTTAGGCCACGTTTGGAATATGGTGTACAGTTCTGGTCACCACACTACTGGACAGACGTGAAGGCTTTAGAGAGGGTACGGAAAAAGTTTGCCAGATGTTGCCTGGTTTAGAAGGTGTTGTGGGTAAAGCTACCTTTAATTTGGCTACTAGTTAAGAAATGTTACAGACAATCAAGTACTGAAGCAATGATTTAAAACTTTATTGCATGTAGGAACCAAACTAAGACCCTCAAGTAAGCACATTAAGCTTCACAACTCAACTTGGCTATTACACGATTAATGGTGGAATTTAGCTACGATTCCAACCAACAGCATCTGGCGCTGGATGTCAAGGGTTTGATCCTTGTGTCATGTTGTTCTTTGAAGTTCTGCTGAAGGACAGTTGTGGTGTTTGATTCTTATATTGTATTTTTGTCCTTCAAGCCTATGTTGTGACATTATTGATGATTCTTCAGAATGCTTTCATCCAAATCATTGACTACTCCTCTGAAACCATTAAGTTTGCAGCTTGCCTTCCTAACGGGAAATATTCCTTGTTACATTTAACCTTAACTCTCTGAAATCATAGCTCTCCTGTGATTAACTCCTTAAATTCTTCTGCAGGGCAATCAGTTTTCCTTGTGGAACGAGGCAGCCACTTATCAAGCAATTGACAGAATAATCTTCAACTCCTTCTTCTCCCACACATGGCTAATTGCTTTCAATCTCTTGTATAAGTCTGTTCTTGTCAGCTAATACAGCAAACTATGCTTTAGCCAGCTCTTTATGAACTGGCATTCTCAATAAGCAGGCAAAAACTATATACTTCAAATACCAGAAGTTTACTGTATTATTGCAATCTCCACAATGCCCAAGTGGTCAGCTGACGGTGTGAGTGAGAAGGGTCTCTGACAGTAAATTTTATTTAAGGCAAAGTTGCATTATTATTTATGTGATTTATGCTGTAGAGAAAGTATAACAGTGATGTATATAGACCATGCATTACATTTCTATTACTTATGGTTGTTTTACATTGATTATGTGGACGACTTGATCAACCAGAATAATTGATTGACTGGCACACTCCTGGTCCCACAGGTACCAGTTAATAACAAGTTCATTTCGATTTATTCCAGGTAAAGTCATTGCTGATCCATTCATGTGTACCAGTTTATCTTTGTTAATTCTTTCAATCTGTGAAAAGTTATTAAAGTTCTGAAGTTTACACTATCACAAGAGTATTAGCTTTGATGTAGGATTGGACAAACTTGGTTTGTGTTGATTTGAACATTGGAGGCTGAGGAACAACCTGATAGAAGTTTACAAAATAATGAGAGTCACAGATAGAATGGACAGTCAAGAATCTTTTTCTTAGGATAGAAATATCAATTACTAGGGGACTTAGGTTTCAAGTAAAAAGGGGAAAGTTTAAAGGACATGTGAGAGGCAGGCTTTTTACACAGATCATGGTAAATCCCTGGAATGCACTGCCAGAGGAAGTGGTAGAAGCAGATACAATAGAAACATTTTAAGAGGCTGCCTTGACAGACATATGTATAGACATCGAATAGAGAGATACAGATCGCGTAGAGGCAAAAGGCTTTTAGTTTAGAAAGGCATCATGTGTTGGTGCAAGTTTAGTTTTTTATTCTTTGATTTTTAGAGAGTTTGAGAGGACAAAATTTTGTTACAGCACAAATTTACACCACGTCCTATTCAGAGAAAGCAAAACTCCTTCTCAGAAGTATAAGCTTCATTCCACTCTTTGAATACACGTGAAACATTTCCACAGTTCTTTTCTAACACTATAACTTGAAAGTCCACTTTAAGGAAGGCTCAGCTGACCATGAAGCTTTATAAACTTTTACTATTTGTTCTTTGTAGGTAAGCTTTGGTTTGCTTCAGCTGTTTGGTACAGAAATAATCCTGCCAATGGTGATGCTACAGAGCCACTCTTGGTGATGGATGTTGAAATCCTTCATCCAGAATACCTTCTGTGCCCTTACCATTCTCAGTGTTACGTTCAAGTGGCTTCAGCATGGAGGAGCACTGATTCATCTACTGAGGAGATGTAGTAGGTCATAATCGGCAGCAGGTTCCCTTGCCCATGTTTGACTGGTTGCCATGAGACCTCATCAGATCTGGAGTGAATGTTGAGGCTGCCTGGAGAAAATCTCTGCTGACTGTATACCACTGTTCTGCAATCTCTGTTGGGTCTGATATGCCAGTTGATCAGGACATACCAATTCTAGGTGATGGTGGTATCTGGGATATTGTAAGTTAACATTCTCTGACCATGACTGCACTGGGCTGTTTCTTGATTAGTCTGTAGGATAGTTCGGCCAATCTTGGCCCAAGCCCAAGCTGTTGGTGAGGAGGACAATGTAATGTCAACAGTGCTAGGTTTGTCATTCTCATTTCTGGTACCTTGATCACTGCCTGGTGATTCATCTGGTTTCGTTCCTTTCTGTAGAATTTTAGCATTTTGATAAAACTCCACCATTTCAGAGAGCAATTAAGAGCCAATTGTATAGCAATGAGTCTGGAGTCACATGTAGGCCAGACCAGGTAAGAGTGGCAGACTTCCTTCCCTAAAAGGCATTATTGAAAAAATTGGGATTTTCTGACAGTCAATAAAGGTCACAAGGTCACAATTAGGTGAGATTTTAATTACAAATTTCAATGAATTCAAAGTTCACCATCTGCCATGGTGGGATTCAGGTCATGTCCCCACTCATTCAGTTGGGCTCTTGATTATTACTCTTGTGACATGACCACTGTGCCACCAAATGGAGAACATTTTTTAAATATCTGCAATAAGTATATTTTATGAAAAGTACAATTGTTTAGTATATTGCTCCATGCAGAAGATTATAAACTTCAAGTGTCACTTTGACAAAGTCACTATTAGTACATGCTAAAAAACAATGGTTTGTCAATGCTCCTCTCGGCCCTGCCTGCATGCTCCTCTTACATTTCTATTTATGATTAATAATGCTTCCTAACATTTCCCAAACATTGGGTAGATTATTATGTTTGATGCAAACTAGAATATTTGCATTTATAAATATAAACTCTACGTTGACTGTTTTTAAATGGTTTTCAGATATGCTTGATTAGGTTCAATTATATCAGTTTGTGAACTGGAGGTACAATGCTAATAAAATCCATCCTTTTCAACAGGAAATGATTACATCATTCCCAGGCACTGCCCAGAATTAGAAATTATGCGTGTTGCAAACAGGATTCTGGATGAGCTGGTGAAACCATTTCATGACCTCCAGATAGATGAGAATGAATTTGCTTGCCTCAAAGCTGTGGTATTTTTTGATCCTGGTAAGTGTCTTTGTTGGTTAAATTACATTTAAATATCAATACAGCTCAATACATGTTATGATCTCAGACTCCTGGACAAAATTAGGTCCTAGAAAGTGCTGGAAAATGTACCAGATCTGGCAGCATCTGTAGAGAGAAAAACAGTGTGAACTTTTCAAGTCTGATATGACTCTTCTCAGAACCCAAAATGAAATCTGGCTTCTCAGATCAGTTTTTATGTAAAAAGTTAACATGGTAGTCATTTACTGAAATATAAGCCCATGCAATATAGGAGCTGAATTAGACCAATTAGCCCATCGTGTCTGTTCCAACATTCAATCATGGCTGATATGTTTCTCAACCCCATTTGCCTGTGTTCACCCCATAACCATTGATCCTCTTACCAATCAAGAACTGATCTATTTCTGTCTTGAATACACTCAGCGACTGCCTCCACAGCACTTTGCAGCAATGATTTCTACAGATTAACCACACTCTGTCTGAAGAAATTCCTCCTCATCTCAGTTCTAAAGGATCATCCCGTCACTATTAGGCTGTACCCTTGGGCCCTAGTCTCTCCTACTAGTGGAAGTATCTTCTCCATGTCCACTCTATCTAGGCCTCTCAGTATTCTGTAAGTTTCATTCAGGTCCCTCCCTCATCCTTCTAAACTCCATTGAGTACAGACCTAGGGTCCTCAACCACTCCTCATATGACAAGCCCTTCATCCCCAGGATGATTTTTGTGAACCTCCTCTGGACCTCCTCCAATGCCAGCATATCCTTCCCTAGATACAGGGCCCAAAACTGCTTACAATATTCCAAATGCAGTCTGACCAGAGCCTCATACAGCATTGGCAGTTCATCTCTGCTCTTGTTTTCCAGCCCTTTTGAAATGAATGCTAACATTCATGTATGTAAATAAATGCATTTACCTTCCTAACTGCCAACTGAACCTCCATGTTAATGTTCAGAGAATCCTGAACCAAAACTCCTAAGACCCTTTGTGCTTAAGATTTTTGAAGCGCTTCTCCATTTAGAAAATTGTCTGAGTCTCTAATCTTCCTAGCAAAATGCATAGTCTCCCATTTCCAACATTGTATTCCATCTGCTTCCTCAGCACCTTCTTTGCCCACTCTTCTAGCCTGTCCAAGTCCTTCTGCAGCCTCCCCACTTCCTTAACACTACCTCTCTCCAAAAATCTTTGTGTCATCTGCAAATGTAACAACAATACCCTCAGTTCCTTCGTCCAGATTGTTAATGTATGACATGTATAGTTGTGGTCAAAACACAGACCCCTGCAGAACTCCACTAGTGACTGACTGCCATTCTGAAAAAGACCCCTTTATCCCCACTTTCTGCCTTCTATCAGTCAGCCAATCCTTTATCTATGCCAGTACTTTGCTCCTAATACCATGGGCTGTTTTCTTATTTAGCAGCATCTTGTGCAGTACCTTGTCAAATCATTCTGGAAATCCAAATAGATCATGTTCACTGCCTCTCCTTTGTCTCACTTGCTCATTGCCTCTTCAAGAGTTCTGACAGATTTGTCAGGCATAACCTCCCTTTGACAAACTCATTCGGACTCAGTTCTATTTTACCATGCACTTCCACATACTCTGCAATCTCAACCCTAATAATGAACTCTAAAACCTTACCAATGATGGAGGTCAGGCTAACTAGCTAATAGCTTCTAGCCTTCTGCCTCCTTCCCTTCTTAAATAGGGGTGTTAGATTTGCCATGTTCCAGTCCTCTGGTAACCTCCTTGACTCCAGTACTTCCTGAAAAATTACCACCAATGCCTTTACAATCTCTTTAGCTCTCCTTCAGAACTCTGGGTCGTAGTCCATCTGGCCCAGGTGACTTATCCATCTTCAGACATTTCATCTTCCTCAGCACCTTCTTGTTAGTGATGGCCACTACACTCACTTCTGTCCCTGACTCTCTTGAAGTTGTGGTGTCTTTCACTGTGAAAACTAATGCAAAGCATGTATTCACTTCCTCCACCAATTCTTTATTTCTCATTCTTCCTTCCCCAACCTCATTTTCCAGCAGACCGATGTCCACTTTTAGCTCTTTCTTACTTTTTAGATATCTTAAAAAAAACTCTTGCAGTCTCCTTTTATATTACTAGCCAGCTTACTCTCATATTTCATCATCTCCTCCTCGTCCTTCCACACCCAGCCTCCCGACTCCACACCACCCCACCCCCCAA